GGGTGGAGCTGATGGGGAAGCTGGAGGCTATCAAGCCTGGCGTTACGCGAAACTTCTGATTGCCTAGATGATGATTCTTCATCAATTGTTTGTTCCTGTCTTTCTCAGCCCATCAGTTGCTTGGGCCAAAGAAAGGTTGTAGAAAACATCGGAGATGTGCTATCCGGACAATTAATGTCAAAGCAGCTAACGCCACCTTGACAACACGAAGTCGTAAGATGAGTTGAAATGGGAACGAAATGAAAACCATTTTTTGAATCCTGAATTCCGTTCAACGTGGTCCGGCAAAAACGGAAACATTTCGGAGCTTCAACCTAGACAGATCAGACTAAGACCTCCGTCGTATTACGTGGAGTTAAGAGCCGCTTATGGCCGGCCTTGCGTCGACCGCATCGCCAAGCAAGGCAAGCTACATGAGACCATCGGACCCGAAAGAGATCCTGGTTGCTGTGATCATAGTGTAATATTCCATCTGCACTTCTCCTCCAACTTATCAATACGTAACCTGGTACGCTAAGATGACCCCTGGGGCTGCTTCCGGGGTGGTATCAACAAAGGCAACTCGGACAGCAACGTTGACCGAACTGCGGATCTACTGCAAGCTTGTATGGAGATTGATGGTTTGCGGAGATAAACTCCGTGCTTGATGAGAAAGCGGTCTTGGATCTTGTTTCAACTTAGAGGTCCTGTATATGCTCGGAGTTGATCTGCCAACTCGCCTGACAGAATCTTTGCAAATAAAGACCCTCGCTCATCCTCGAGAGCCTGCAGCATCCAAGACGTTAAGATACATCCTTTTCTCCACACAACAAACCCAAACCAGTCTCAAATCGCACCAATGACCTCCCAAAAGCGCATCTTCATGACCGGAGCAAGCGGCCACATCGGCTCCGAGATCATCCGCCTAGCCCTCGCAGACGGCCACTCCATCCGCGCCCTCTCCCGCACCCCCGAAAGCGACACCAAACTCCGCTCCCTCGGCGCCGTCCCCGTCCGCGGCGACCTCACCTCCCTCGCCGTCTTGCGCACCGAGTCCGCCGCCGCAGACGTAGTCCTCCACCTCGCCACAGCCTACGTCTTCGGCGGCGCTCCGTACGAGTCCATCCGGCACATCGACTTCGCCGCCGTCGACGCCATCGCAGACGGCCTGGCTGGCACCGACAAGCCGCTGGTCGCCACCTCCGGCACCCTCATCGTCGCCGCCGACCCCGCGGGCGCGGAGACGGACGAGGCGTCGCCGATCGGGTCCAACGAGCTGCACACGCGCATGCTGACCGAGACGCACTCTCTAGGCCTCAAGAATAGGGGCATCCGCGTGATGGCGGTCCGCCTAGCGCCATTTGTCCACGGCCACGGCCGCAGCGGCGTGGCGCAGCTCATGGACATGGGCGCCAAGGCGGGTTGCATCACCGTCATCGATGGGGGCGGGAACCGGACCACCACGGTCCATGTCGACGACGCGGCGCGGTTGTATCTTCTTGCGGCAGAGAAGGGCAAGGTCGGGGATGTTTATAACGCGAGTGCGTCTACCGAGGTGACTCTGAGGGAGATGTCGGAGGCCATGGCGGAGGCTGTGTGCGTTCCTGTTAGAGACATCACGAAGGAGCAGGTGGAGAAGGAGTTCGGGCCTATGATGGCTTTCTTCCTGTCTGTCGAGAACCGTGCTTCCGGAGCGAAGGCGAGGAAGGAGCTGGGATGGGAACCGAAGGGCATGGGCGTTCTTGAGGACATTCGGCAGGGGTCTTACCAAGCTGTTGCCAAGGCCCTGAGGAAGTGCGAGAACTTTGCCTGTTAGCAGATCGCCCCGTGACTATTAATGATCCTGGGCAAAACAGCGTCAAGGGAAATGTGACAGTAGTCAAATGACAAAATCTTCTTCTTATTTTTCAAGGTGGGCTTGGCGAGCCAATTAGATCTATAACCTTTATTTCTGCCACCTCTTCTTTCCGGAGGAGGGCATCGTGTCGTCCCTCTATCGATGCAATGTAGCCGCTTTATCCCTGGGCGTGATTTATTCCGACCTGCTACGCTATGATTATCCGCGACATTTTTCAGCACATGTAACAAAACAGATGTCTTCTATCAAGACAAACGACGGGCTTGACAGGCTGGCCTGTCGAGGCTGAGGCTTTCGACTATGGGTCCGCTTCACCGTCCGTGCCGTCCTCTTCGCCGGTCCAGTCGTCGCTCTCAAGTCCGCGGTTGCGGATGGCCAGGGATCCTACCCATCCAAGCAGGGCGATGCCTCCAAAGATTCCCCAGGCCAGAGCTTCGCCTTTGGGGTGGACGCGTGTGGAAAGAGTGAACAGCGCGCCGGACACAAAAGGTCCGAAGCTGCGACCAGCGGCGGACAAGGTCTGGGCAATGCCGTTTAGTGTGCCCAGCGTGGCATGATTAGGGGCGCAGTTGGTAATCTACATTGTCAGCAAACGAGGGTCATGTTGGCTGGGGGGGGGGGGGGGGGGGGGGGGGGGGGGGCTTACTAGCAGCATCACACTGGACAACCCGCCGACTGCGCAGATATTCTTGATGATGAGAATGGCTCCCAGCTCAATGTACAGCCAAGTGGAGCCGGTGCCGACGCCAAAGTACGGTTCATCATCGAGGTATCCAATCCAAGGCATCAGAGCCATGCTGACGGCGAGTCCAAGCAGCGCAACACGATAGCTGCCCAGGTTTCCCAAACGGGCTTTGACAGGCTGGAACAGGAAAGCTTGAAAGACGATTGTGGCCACGCCAGCCAGACTCAGACTGACACCAATCTTGCTTGGGGGCAAACCGCGCCCTGTTGGGGGATCCGCGTCAGCGAAGATGGGGTACAAGCTGTTGTAGGAAATGTTGGACAACTGGAATACCAGATATGTCAACAGCACCAGAACCGTGTTGCGGTTCAAGATATGGCGCCAGGTTGCAAGGTCGCCTGGCGTTTTGGGATCGTCTCCAGCCTCGGAGCCTTCTTCGTCAGCGTGGGGAAGTAGCCCTTGGTCCTCCGTCGCGCCGTCTTCATCCTCGTCCTCTTCGTCGTCTGATGTGCTCACCGCGACCTGGGAACCGCGACGAGGCCAGCGGGCGGCCCAAGAGTTCCTCTTCGGTTGGCGTGATCCCTTGACCCACGACCATGCATTGCGAGCCCAGGCAGGAATCCAAGCAGCGTGATCGGGCTCCAAACTTTCCAGAGTCTCCTCAAACCAAATTCCGACGATAATCACACTGGTAAGAAGCAGTGCTGCGCTGAGCAGGTTTGGCGCAAGGTAGGGATACTTCTTGCCCAAGGTCCCTACCAACAGGCCTCCCAACGCAGGACCTGTAATACCACCCAGAGAGTAGATGACGGGCAGCCAAGTGAAAGCCCTGCTCTGGTTAGAACGATCCGTCACTTCACCCAGTACGGTAGGCACCACAGCAGCATTGCCGTTCAGCAAGCCCATGAAGACGTGGACCAGCACGATTTGCCAGTACGTCCTGCAGAAACCAAATGCGACGAAACAGCAGGTGAGCATGAAGGTGCCCATGATCATGACGGGTTTCCTCCCAACAACATCGGATAGATATCCCCACAACAAGTTCGTCGAGAGCTGGGCGAGGGCGAATGCCGAGGCGAGGATGCCGACGTACAGGCCAGTCTGGGAATCTGGAATGTCGGAGAAGGACTCGACCATCTGGGGCAGGTAGGGGCCGATGGAATTGAGGGCCGTCTGCTCGCTCAGGGACAGGAAGGCAAGGAGGGCCAGCTGGCGCACCGGCAAGGGAGTCTGCTCATGGTCATCGTCGGAGGCATTGGAGCCCGAGTCGGAGTGGTCAAAGAGCTCGGCGGATGACTGCTCGCGAGGAGTCTTTGGAGGAGGAGTCGGGAATGTGTGATAGGCATGGGTCGATTGGCGGCGCATTGTGACTTGTCGTCGACTTGATTCTATACTCGCCAAGGTGGGAATGGGAGCACCAGCGTGGAATGAGCCGGACGAGGCTGTGCGGGAAGCAGCCGCGGCGCCGGCAAGATTTGTGTGGACCATGGTTCGGAGGGATTAAGTCGCGCGTCGTGGCTTGAGGTTAGTCGTCGGGCGTGGGCTCACCTCGCGCAGCAGCAGAAGACGGATTGGGTCTGCTGGCGGTGACGTCGACGAACTGGTGCAGGCGGACACACGGTTGTCGTCGGTGGTAAACGGTCGGAGATCGGTGTTGGGTCGGTGGGAGATGCTGTATTGGGTGTAGGTAGCCGCCTGGTGCCTTGGTGGTTGGAGCTTGTCGCTTCTCGCTTGGTGCTCTCGGTGTGGGCGGCGGCGCGCTACCCCGCTGCCAGGGTCTCACGGTGATGGAATGCAGAATCGCAGCCTCCAGCGCATGGCTTCGAGATTCGACGGGGGTGCGAGGGTGCGCGGGTGGTCGATAAGAGGTATATATATGGGTTGCGATAGCACACTGGGCTAAGATTCGGCGCGGGCAGATCAAGTGTGCAACCCAGATATGCGGTAGAGGAGGCGCAGGAGGGTGGAGGGGAGAGAGGAGGGAGCGTGAGACCAGGCGCAAACGTCGCGAGCGAGGATAGACGACGGCGTGGTTGAGGTGCAGGTGGTGGTGGTGCAGGTGCAGAGGTGCAGGTCTGGTCTGGCGGCGCAGAGGTTGGTGGTGGTTTTCGATTGATGGGCGGCGGGAATTAGCTTCGGCTGGATGCGACGGGAGGTACTATCCGGCTGAAGGTACCTAGCACCTGCTGTTTTCTGCTGGGGAAAGCACAAATCACTGGTACTTGCCGTTGTCGCAGTCTGCCCACCAAAAAAGAAGGAGCACGGACCGGGGTGACCTCATTTTTTTTCACTCGTTTTTTTTTCCTCGTCATTTTTCTTCCTCGTCTCCTTCCTCTTCGCTTCGACGGGGCATGTGCTCCGTGCACTTCCTTCCCTTCTTCACATTGTTCTGTTCTGCGCAGTAAATGTGGGTGGCGGGGCGGGAACTCTGTGTTAAGCTTCCCGCGCTGACAGGTGCCTGGGCACTAACAGCCAATCATGACCATCGTTGAACACTGCGAAGAGCTCTCTGTACTGGAACCTCGTGCCCGCCTTTCCGATCACGCGCATATTGAGAGGTGCGATGACGTCCGCCCTCAAAATCAGGCGCCTGTCATTGGCCACACCGATCTGATCTCTGATCTGGCACTCGTCCCAGATCCTCCAACGGCCACCATCCCAATTCTAAGCCTTACTTAGTAAATTTGCCCATCCATCCCGTTCGCTGTCACCCCCAACTGTTCGCCGTCCTTGACATAGGCCAATCATTTGACCTCGCAGACCGCCGGGAACACGGCTAGACTGTTTCTAAAGAACGAGCCCTGTGACCACAGAGTGCTGGCAGAGCCGGACTCATACCATGCCATCGTCGCCCGCCACCACGAGACATCTGACTATGGGTTCGAAAACCTCCGAGACTAGGTCCATGCAGGGTCCGGCTGTTATCTCTGCTGCAACCAACTTGCAAGGCTGTGTGTGTGTTGGACGACCTTGCCGATATCCAGTGTCAGGTTGGTTGTCAATCACTTTTTGCTCGGTGCGTGCCGAAAGTGATCGACGAGACCGTTGGGGAAATACGAGATGAATGCTACTAGGCTGAGCGACGGGCCACGGTCACTCGACAGCGCAGACAGATAGGGCACGGCATCTGTCGTTACCTCTGTCAGAGAACTGATCATATCTCACCAGACATATCTGCCTTGCCAAACAAAGTCTCGTTCACATGGGGCCGTAGACTCAGGTTGAACATCCATCCGAGACAACCAAGTTTGCAGGTCGAGTAAACCCGTGCCAAGAGACTGTCGACCTTGTCATGAACGTGGAAGCCATGGTGGCTGCGACTATGAGTATATATAATCTCAGACAATCATCATCACACCTCACGAGTTCAGATGGAACAAACACCACATGGCAACACGCAAGACAAGCAGGTATCGGCCTGTATTCAACCGGAACCTCGTGCCTTCTTCATAACATCACCGAACCCCTCTGGAACACTTGAACAACACGCCCCGAGCTGTCCGTTCGCAATTTGCACCATTTCATGCCGAACCTGTCAGGGCTTGCGTCGTGTCTCCCCAACAATCTGAATGCCGAACATCAATGACATGCGGTAAGCAGCAGTCAGGAGAGAGCCCCGAGATCTTCCCCGCGAACCACACCTCCGGGATTCTTCAACCAACCACATCGTTGTCAAAACTCGGTGGCTCGGCCGACCTGCAGATGCATGGCCCCAGTGTCACAAACTTCTGGGTCGACAAAGACAAGGCTACCCCAATCCCAGGGTCCGCCGCTCCAACATGAAGGGTCGCAAACTCTTTGTGCCTTGCGGACAGCCCGGGAGACCGGGGAGGGGTGTCGTCGGTCGACGATCAGCCGAAAGACGATGACCCCCATGTGGACGCGTCTCGGCGCGGGAAGCGCCTCGCCTTCCTTTGGCAAGAGGCCGGCTTTCGGTCCTCGAGGCCCACTACCTACGCTCTTATGGACGGCAATTCAGCCGGTGAACCCGGCCTGAACTCTGGAAACAACTCACATGGCAGAAGACGCAATCGTTGGCTCATTCAATTCATTTTCATTTTCAGCATGGTATCATTACATCAATAGTAGACCCGCAAGAACTCGACCAGCGCCATCATGGCCATGGCCTGGCCGTACGGCATACTCGTCCGCGGGATGTCCTTGTAATGCTGCAGATCGTGCCCCATACCCGTGCCGAACGACGTGTTCAGCAGCTCGCCCTCGGGGCTGATGTTCTCCAGCACCGCCCTGACCGCCTTGATCGCCGTCTCCTCGTACTCCTTGCCAATGTATTTCTTGCGCTGCCCCTTGAGGATGCCGTACGCGAACCCGGCCGTGGCGCTGGCCTCGACGTACGAGCCCTCCGCCTCGGGCACGTCGAGCAGCGTCCTCCACAGCCCGCTCTCCGCCTGCAGCGGCACGAGCGCGTTGACCTGCGCGTCGAGCGTGTTGACGAGGTGCGCGCGCAGAGCGTCGTCGCGGCCGAGGTCGAGCAGCTCGATGAACTCGGGGATGACGATGGTCACCCAGCTGTTGCCGCGGGCCCAGCGGGCGCGCGCAAAGTTGTGGCCGCCCTCATGGAAGGTCCAGCCGTGGAAGAAGAGCCCCGTCGGCGCGTCGAAGAGGTACTGCAGGTGGATGAGGAACTGCTTCTTGGCCTCCTCGACGTAGTGCGGGCGGTTGAGCACGAGGCCGATCTTGGCGAGCGGCATGACGGTCATCATCAGCGTGTCGTCCCACAGCTGCTGGTCGTTGACCTCGAGGTAGGTGATGTGCTGCATGCCGCCGTACTTTGTGCGCGGCAGGTCGTGGTAGGCCCACTCGGCCCAGCTCTCGAGCCAGGGGCGGTACGTCTCGTTGCCCGTCTTCTCGTAGACGTAGGCGAGCGTCAGGAAGACGGCCATGGTGTTGATGTTCTTGCCCTTGTGGCCCTCGTCGAAGCGGTTGCGGAACCAGTCCTCGATGGTCTTGAGGCACTCGTCGTCGCCCGTCAGCTCGTAGTACTTCCAGATGCCGTACAGGCCGATGCCGTGCGTCCACTCCCAGTCGTTCCAGCCCTTGGTGTCGATGATGCGGCCGTCGGCCAGCGTCATGAGGAACTCGCCCGTCGTGTCCTTGATGTTCACCAGCTCGTGGATGAGCTGCTTGACCTGCTTGTGGACATCGGCGGACTTGACGCCGTGAAGCTCGGCGGGCATTTTGGCGGTTTTGGGGGGTGTTGTATTAAACGGCAAGTTTCAATGGCTTGCTGTTCAATGAGTTAGTGACCGAGTTTCGGGTTCTCAAAGTGAGGCGGGGTAGCTCCGATCGCCGGCCAAAGACGGTTGGAACGTGGTCTTCCCTCAATTGTGACTTACCTTGGGAAAATCCGAATCACAGGAAGTGCAGTGTCGAGGGTTTCACGCAGCGACCGGCCTGGTTTCCGTTCCGTTTGGCGAAGAATGACGACAGTGGATAAGTGTGAATACGACACGCGATGACACCAGCTCTCTTCTTTAACGCTGGCCGCAGAAACCCTTATGAAGTGGCAGGGCTTCGGCGAAATGACCAAAATGCACAGCAGGTGTCAGGGGTACGTGGACGAAGAGAGCCGGGGGCACAAACGCGTTCGGCGTGATGCAGGCCGAGGTGTATAAAGGCCAAGACTTTTAAAAGATGCGCCGTCCTGTGCTTGCGGTCTTCGCTGGTCTCGAGAACCCCACTGCCCAATGTGCCATGAGGCTAGAAAGACGCACGAGGGATCCCACGAGGCATGGCATCCAGCTGTTATTCCCGTGGATTGGTTGGCTGGGTATATCCCGCTGTAATGATGCAGTAGGAAATGCTGAGGGACGGTTGAGGTTTGGGTTGGGTGAACCGGGGCCGACCCACTTCGGGTGGCCACCGACGCTGCGACTCGGCTCCATCTCGGGTCCTCCTCCCCCGCGCCCCGGCCTGGTTACCCCGCGCCGGTGGAGTCTTCCCCGATTTTCTCGTCGTCGTTTGCGGTTTGGCCTCGAGGTCGTCCTCTTTCCTGACTGGCGCGACTTTCCTAACCTGCGCAGACCGCACTGGATGACCCCTGTGTGGCCCTCGCCCGGTACGAGGCTCGCCGGCGGCCAATCATCCACAGCCCCTGTTTTTTCACTCACGCGGCCTGGGGTTTGGGGAAGTCATCTCCGCACTCACGTCTGCGGTGAAAAGATGGAGAGAGTCTGGAGAGAGAGAGGGAGACGGAGGAGATTTGAGGGGAAACAGCGGGCTTCCCCCCATTTCCCCCAGGTTGCGGTTGCGGAGAGAGACGGGAGTCTCCAGCACTTCTGATGACCAAAGCGATATGCACAACTCGACCCGACTCAAGCACAATTCCAACGCGGAGTCGAGCGGAGTGTGGTCGAGCGAACTAGACCGAATAAATCCACTGGACAAGGTGCTAATGTGCTTTAATTGCAATTCCGGAACTCTGGTCATCCTCGCGATGCTTAAACCGTGTTCGCTGGAAACCCGCCCCCAACACAGCATAGCCCTACATCACACAGAACCAAAGAATCAGTAACAAGTACCTTATCCATGGGCCTCCAAGAACGCCTATTCGATTTCCTTCATGTCATTCTTGATTTGCAACGATATAGAAAACATCACAGCACATGGAATCACTGCACTGTCTCCAATTACTAACATCCGTGCCTGTCGCTCCTGTCGTTCACCTCCATTTCTCCCAGCCCCCAAAGCCCCTGGCTCAGTCCCCAGCCAGTTGCCATAGCTCTCGCATTCCCATGTGACCTATCACCAAGTTCTATCCAGCCGTCAAGAAATGACAGCAATATGCGGCTTAACACTGACCTGCCAAGAAAGCACTCCGAGGCAGCCGCACGCTCCATCAAGCTTTTCCAAGACGAAGGGCGCGGGCATTCGCCGACGCTAGAGACACCTTTCAGGCTCAACCCGCCCTGATCCCATCACCGTCGCGCCCCTCCCCTCATACCAAGCCAATCCCATCCCCTGTCGATGACACCCCCCAAAAGCCGAGCCGACTCGCCAGATTTACATCTGCCCAGAGGTCTTCCCCTTGCCCTTCCGTTCAGTGCCGTAGACCGCCCGTCTTGGCAAAGAGCCTCTCTCCAACAGTCTCGTTCTCTCCTCGGTGAAGAAAACCCGATTCAAGTGAGACATCTCAACGCAGAGTCTGCGACTGGCGACAAGATCCAAACACAGAAGCCGCAGACGCTCTGTTACCAGGATTGCCTCGCCACCCATGCAACGCGCAGCCAGAAACAAAAACTAGCCGTGTCCACCGTCTGAACCATGCCTTGAGCAATGCGCTCACGCCCGCCGTCACCCCGTACCAACCCCGTGGACCCCCAGTCCCCATATCAGCCGGCTCCCCAACCAACCCCAAACTTGACTCGTGCCGTCCTACCCATAGTTGATGGGTACCGTTGTGCAAGCCTCCTGTCCAATCTGCGGCCTATTTCCGTCTCTCGTTCTCCAGATAGTAGGAGTTTGGGGAGGTCCAAAGGGGCGTGTGAGACTCAGACCACGCCTCGTCGCCCATCTCGGTCGAATGATGCCCCAAGTGAGCCCACCTCTCTCCTTCATCCTGTTGGCTGTCGCGAGTTCCTGGCCCAGGCATCCTCGAATCGCAGACGTCCCTTCTCCCCGGGCTTCGTGGGGGTTCCTGTTCGCTCTCGTCGTCCCTTTTCGCGGGGGACCGAACCATCTCCACTGGGGAACACGCGCCTCCCAACAGGAAATCTTGGGGTAAGAATGAGGAGAGAGTGAGGGTTAGATCCGGGGTTTGACAGGCGACCCGAATAAGAAAAGGCGATATCCAAGGCCAGGCACACTCATCACCTCATACTCCACCCGGATCTGCTCTTATATAGAACTGGGTAGCATCCGTCCCGTCTGGACTTTCTTGCCCAGGTCACTCACTTTCTTCCTCCTTCTGAGAGTGTGACTTCAAGGCCTTCAGAGAAGCCATCGGAGCTTTGAACCTCATATCGGCGCTTAAGTGCAGTCGTTCTCACCATACACATCATCACAACATGGCCTCCCAAGAAGTGACCGACGCCCCAGGGGCCAAGACCACCCTCACCGAACTCGAACGCACAACCTCGTACGAGAAGGCGCAAGCAACCCGCCTCGAAAATGTCGACAACGAACTCTCGCAGTATATCGGCGGCGACATCACCGTCTCCAAGGAGCGCAGCGACGAGCTCCGCAAGAAGATCGACCGCCGCATCCTCCTCGTCATGATCTGCACATACTTCCTCCAGGCCATCGACAAGGGCACAATGTCCTTCGCCTCCGTCATGGGACTGCAGAAGGACACCGGCCTTGTGGGACAGCAGTTCTCCTGGCTCACGACCTGTATCTACATCGTAAGTCTCGACCGTATTACACTGCAGCTAACTCTTGGGCCATAACCACAGCCACCACCACAAACAAGACTGAACGAGCTAACAACCATCCCAGGCCATCTTGTTCGTAGAATGGCCGCAGAATTACTTGATCGCCCGTCTCCCCATCGCTAAATACCTCTCATTCTCCATCATCGCATGGGGCGCCGTCCTCGCCTGCCACGCCGCCTGCACAAACTTCACCGGCCTCGTCGTCGTCCGCACTCTCCTGGGTATCTTCGAGTCCGCCTGCCAGCCCGCCTTCGTCATCCTCTCCTCGCTGTGGTACCGCCGCGAGGAGCAGGCCTCCCGCGTGACGTACTGGTACATGATGAACGGCGCCCAGCAGATCGTCGGCGGTCTCCTCGCATACTGCTTCACCCACATCAAGACCGGGCCCCTCAAGTCCTGGCAGTGGCTGTTCCTCGTCTACGGCGTCATCTCCGTCATCTTTGGCGTCTTCGTCCTCTTCTGGATGCCCGACTCCCCCATGCGCGCCAAGTGCTTCACCGAGCAGGAGAAGAGGGAGATGGTCGAGCGTGTGAGGGATAACCAGACCGGTATCCAGAACAAGAAGTTCAAGCGTGAGCAGGCTGTCGAGGCCCTCACAGATCCCCAGGTCTGGGGGTACGCCCTCATCGCGCTGTGCACCACCCTGCCCACCTCTGGCCTCGGCGCCTTTGCCAACATCATCATCATGAGCTTCGGCTTCAGCACCCTCGAGGTCCAGCTGCTCGCCATGGTTCTCGGTTTCTACATCATCTTTGTGCTCCTCGGATCCGTCTGGTTGGTCAAGAAGACGGGTCAGAACCTCTACGTCATGCTCGGCTTCTGCGTCCCGTAAGTCCCCTGCCCCTAAACCACATGTCGCAGAGAAACACCTACTAACCAGACATTCAGCTCCGTCGTCGGCACCGTCCTCCTCATGACCCTCCCCAACAAGACCTTCTCACAGCACATCGGCCTCCTCATCTGCTACTACATCACTCTCTCCTTCTGGTCCGCCCAGACCCTCGCGCTCTCCCTCATCTCGCGCAACATCGCCGGCCAGACCAAGAAGCAGATCGCCGTCGCCCTCAACTTCATCATCTGGGCCACCGGCAACGCCATCGGGCCCCAGGTCTTCCTCAGCTGGAACGCCCCGCGCTACTTCATCGCCTTCGCGACCCACCTCGGCTGCTACGCCCTGCTCATCCTCATCATCATCGGGCTGAGGATCCACCTCACGAGGCAGAACAAGAAGAGGGACGAGATGGCCGCCTCGGGCGTCGCGGAGGCGTCCCCCGACTACACCGCTCATGCGTTTGAGGACATGACGGATAAGGAGAATTTGTCGTTCCGTTATGTGTTCTAAGAGGTTGTATGTTAGCGTTTAATTGTAGAGTCGGTGATGAGATTTGACTAAAGTGTCATGACTTCAATATTCAATCTGTCTCCGGAGTAATGTGCTGCTTCTGTGTCAATTATTTATTAACTTGCTGAAGAACCCGGCTTATGTTACTTTTGACGGCTGTGATACCAGCAGGCAAGAATTACAATAAGCCCGACGACAGAGATGAGGTGACAACTGCGGCTGCGACGGTTAAGGTAATAGAGATAACTAGGATAGGAGAACTATGTACCGTGGCAACGAGAACCTCAACGTCACTCAGATGACCAGAAGCCTTATTTCAAATCTTGCCATCGAAACGGAGTCGGAGTTCGTTGCGCCTTACAAAGTCCGCCGGGCGATACTGCTGACGCAAGCTCTGGCAGCCTGAAAAAACTCCGCGGAACATCTCGTAGAGTGCTTACTCGTCAACTTCAGCACCTCAAATTCTAGAACTTTCGTAACAACACGTCTATCAGCAATTTTAGCCAGGAGATATCGTGCAGATGAAAGGAGATGAAGTCAAACCCCAACGATGTAGTTCTTTAAGCCTCCTCTTGGCATCTCCAACGCCAAGCGCAATATTTGGGGTAACAATTCATCCCACTCAAGGGTCGCCTCTAGACCAGGGCACCTCATCCCGTGTGACCCCCATGTTTCCCCTCTACTAATCTATTTTGCACTTCTTCGTCTTTGATCCCTACGGCCTTGGCCAGCTTCAACCTGCGGACCAAGAGGGGCGCATAGCAGGGCTGTAACCTCCGCGCGTTCAAATCAGGATGAAGGAGCCGTTTGAATCGTGTTGCCTGATCCGGCTCGCAATCCCTGTCTCGGCACCGCCTGGTTGGATGAGCTGTCAAAGTAAAGGATCCGGGACGCCGACGGATCGCCGGTGGGGCCGGAACCCGGCGACGGTGGATTTGGTCGGTCCGCTCCCGCCCCGTTGGTAAAGCGGGCGCAGGTTCAAAGACCGCCGGAACGTCCAGTTTCTGGATTGCAAAGGGAAATTACGCCAGAAACAAAAAGACTCCAATTGAAACCTCTTATCTACCGCTATGGAAATCCGAGGACTTGCCAGAAGCCCTGTGTCCAGCCCAAACCCATCCCATCGTGAAAGACCATGAAAGGAAAATGCCGTAGACGAAACATGAGAAAGAGAATAGACCATGATTGAAATCGTCGTGAGACGGAGAGGTGTAAGATGCCAATGCGACGCTGATGCTCGCTCCCCCGATGCCGATGCTGATGCTGATGCCGATGTCGCTCGAAGAAAAGAATGCCTGTCGCTCGCTATCATCCCATGCTGCAAGGTAAGATACCTGTAAAATGCGCCGCCGCCTATACTCATACACCAATCATCACCGTCGCCGTCATTTCTTATCCCCGAGCCCGCACATGCGCCACCACCTGCGCGGCGCCGAGCCTGCCTCTAGTACCAGACCGGATCGACGGCCCAGTGCCTGAGCATGGCACTCAAGGCCTTGTTCCATTCGTACACGAAGCACGCCTTGAGCTGTTCCGCCTCCTCCGCCGAAGGCTCGCGGCCTCCCCACATCTCAGGCTTCACGGCCTCAACGCCGGCGTATCCGTCAACTAGGCCACTGCGAGTGCGCGTCAGCCCCGAAAGATCTCGGGAAAAATCATCTAGATGCATGCGTGCGAGGTCCACGTACTCTTCCTGGATCTTGGTCAAGCAGAGCCAGGCCAGGTTCCAGCTCTTGTTCGAGTTCGGGTCGCTGCGCACGCGGACGTGAGCGTCGTAGAGGATGTCGCTGCAGATCGGGTAGCTGCGCGTCATCCCTCGCAGCTCGCTCAGGAGCTGGTTGCTGTTGACGTAGTAGTCCCAGGCCGCCGTCATGGGGCCCTGGAAGGCGACGGCGTCCTCTTCGTTCTCGCAGGTCGCGGCCACGCGCTCGATCCGGCAGAGCTCTGTGAGGGTGTTTACCCGGTGGGTTTCGAGCGACTCGATGAGCTGCTGGACGGAGCGCTGTAAGGTTCTGTCAGTATGGTATCTGGGATGCAGCGATCATGAAGAAGCTTGGGTTCTGTACGAGGTAGAAGGGAGGGAGCGATGAGTAGGGACAGGACGGGGCGATAGTACAAAGAAGAGGCCTTCACTAACTTGGACCGCCCTTGGCTTCTTGCTACTCTTGGAGCTGCGGTGGCTGGATGAACCTCCTGAACGACCGGAACGTGACGACGACATTATTGGTGATGTGCGGGAAGAATGCGACTTCTGAGTGACACGGGATGATGAAAAAGAAGACAGGATGTCTTGAACTGTGAATTCGGCGTCTTCGAGGGGGTCGTTGACTTCAGTGTTGTTGGTGTGTCTGCTGGTGATGCTGCTGCTTCGAGACCAGGACTTGAAGTCGGGCGAGCTCGATGATATATCCAGCTCCGATGCTTCTTCGGATGTCGGGCTCATCACGGCAGGCGTTCAGCTCCAAGAAGCTGTTCAGAGGGTGTTCAGATCGTCCAAAAGAGGCAGCCAGGGGTCTTTCCGGCTAACGAAGCTCTATGCCGAGTGACGTCGGTACTTAGAGAAGATTGCAGATAGCCGCCAGAATGGTAAGATTGGTGTCTGCAGTCAGGAGAGTGATGTCCGGAGCGAAGGTCAACGGAGAGAGCGTATGACGATGATGTGAACATGCATTCGCAGAGCCACCCTTGAGCTTCAGTCAGAAGTGAGAGGTTCATGCGTGAGTAACACCGAGAGGTTGTCATGCAATGAATGCCAAGGTGGCTGATTATGGATATCAGAGACACTCTGTATGGTCAAATATATGGTGATTATGATTGTTTGAGAACAAAAAGATGACAGTTTAAACATAACAACACACGTCCGTGGTCAACGGAAGACGGGAGCGGGAAGTCTAAGCCACACGTGTCCACCCCTAACACCGCGCCAGTCGTGGGAGTGTGAACTCCGAGGCTCTAAACGTGGGATACATGACAGTCCAAAGTCTGTGTAACGGGGCTGGGGATGGGGCTGATTGATGGCTCCCGAAGGTAGAGGTCGTCGAGGTCGAGCCACGAGCTAAGACGGGCTTGGACGAGGAGTACCCAAACGGGTGGCCAGCAGCCCTCCGACCCCTTGCCGACGCCGTCCCAGAAAACCGGCTGTGGGTAGATTGTAGTGAGTTCTGAGCATGTTCGGATGTCGAGTTCGGGACGGCAAGGGGGTGCGGCCTCTGTGGAGCGATGGGAGAGAAGAAGCAATTCAAGCCAATGATTGGCAGGAGCAGGACCGGTGCTCGGCCGAATACATGCTTACAAAGGAAACATATTTTTGTCTTTGCGGGTTTCTAGGAGTCACCCTGGACAATGACGATGAGATCGTGGTCGTGCGAAACCCAGCTGCCGGGACGGGTGGGCAGCCATGATGCACGTCCTGGGATGTGACAGACCGTGTGCAAGGGTGTGCGATGCAGCCCTACAGGCAGATGTTACGATGGCTCATAGTTGATAGGGTGCTCCGGGACGAGGTCAGCACGAAACAGCTCGTCGTTGGGTCCCGAGTGAAAGGCGATGCGCATAGGTGAGATTTTAGCGGGTGGTCAAGTCCGTGGCATGGCGCGCAACGGTCGCTCAAGACCAGCCATCTTCAGACTCTGATTGATCCAAACACTTTGGAGATGTATGCAGGTGGATGTGGACATTGCGGATTAGGTGGCCGGTGTAGGACGCACTGCACTGCAGCAAGACCAGACCGTGGCTCTGCAGCTGACACGGGGCCCAGAGGACTTTTGCCCTTGGCAGCCCGTCGGTCCGGAGCATGTTGGCATATGAAACAATCTTATCAAGATGGACATAAGGTCGCTCATGGAAATTTGCATCCATCGTGCAGACACGAGGTTTGCATGGTGTTCGGGCGGTGGCAAGCGAACGCGAATTCAACCGTCGGAGTTCACGCCGCAGACAGCCGGGACTGGAGCGGCGACGAGACGGAACGGTGGAGAAGACCCACAATGGCGACGGTACGGATATCGGCGATCACTGTTGAAGATCGTGTTTAGAAAGTTGATCGTATTGTAAAACTCAGTAGGATACCGACTCGCTGGTGTGACAGTGTCGTCCGAATATCGCAAGTCATGTTCCCGCGGGATATGTCATCCCAATTCCCCAAGTGACGGGGTGTCCTTGGCTTGCATATGCGGGGAGGATGCGATAGGGCTGAGGGTGGTGGTTTTGCCAATGAGACCACAGGCTGGCCAGTTTGGATACCAGCTGTCCCGCACCTGGTATGACTGACTTCGGACTTGGCCTCGGCACAAACTGCTGATTGCTGGATGTGGTTCAAGGTGTGGGAAAACGCAGTCATTCAGAAGGGTGACAGCAGGTTCAGATCGGGCATCTGGTGGTGTTGTGCTGCCATACCAAAGGCCGATGACAGGAACAGGAACGATGTGGCTCTGGAGTCATGCAAGGCCTGAAATGACCTGCGGCACCCCGGCGGTACGTCAGAATGATGGCCAATGGCATTTCCAGCAAGCTGTTTCTCGGTTGGCGAAAACGTGGTGCTGAATGTGAGGCTGTTGCAGCTGAAACTTGATCACACACCTTGGTGGTAGATTGATCAACAGATTGGGCCGGTCGATCACGGACCCAGGCCCGCTCGCAGATCATAGTCGGCCTCATGGTATGTCTTCCGAGAAAGGAACGTCAGCACCGACTGAAGTTGGGTAGAGTGGGGTAGAGTAGAGTAGAGTTTGGCGATATCAATGCAAGGGTGAGGCATTGCGGTGGATTCAGGAAGCTCGTGTTGAAATTTGGCGAGGCAGACTCGCTCTCACCTGCGGATGGTATGTGATCCACGATCCGCGAAGGGTCACAAGGCCCGAACAAGCGCCATACCGGTTGAACCAGCGGAGGGGCCGTCTTTGGCCAAGAGATGGGAGTGGGATTCTAAGCGCGGGAGCGGTGTCGGCAGTGTGGTTTGCTGCGGTACGCGGGAAGAAGACGGGAGGGAATGTGAGGAAGCCATCGCAATAACTGGATTCAGCAAGTGGAAGGGAAACAAGCGCGGGAAACAAGGTGCGGGAGCCTAAAAAGAGTGGAAAGACACAGCGGGAGAGGACCACTGAAACAAGGCAGGTCCCGGACTTGGATGCGCCTGCGCCACGCCTACTCGTGGTACGTACCTGCACTAAGCGAGAAGTCTCCACTATAAAAGCTCTTGCCGTTTGGGACTCCAATCAGATACCCTCAAAGTCCGAGTAGGAGCCATACCATTGGCTGTCGGATGGGGCTTGCTCCGGGAAAAGTGGCTCAAGGTTCGGCCTCAGCCCCCCGGTTCCTGGAAATCCGGCAGAGACAGGAATATCTCTCCGATTCAACACTCTACATCTGGTGTCATTCTTCAACCGTGCATGTCGACGTTTCTTTCCTCGTTGGTTTACGGGGCGCTTAGCCGCCGCGAACTCAATGGTTGTTTCCGCCCTTTGTTTACCGAGGTCTTTTACCGAACAACAACCAAATAAACCCACTGCTTACAGTGCGCCAACGAAACGAGCGCTTCGCGTCTCTGGCGTCTGTCATGCACATCTCACACAACCCAGCGGCTTCACTGTGACCCCCAAGAGTGCGAATTCAGTTTGCTGCAGTTAGGAATTCCGGAAAAAAACCCACTTTCCTAACCTGTCTCATTCACTTGGCAGGCAGAATCTGTTGACGTCCACCGACACACCGGCCAGCGCTATGTCAGCACTCGGCATCATGCACTGTGATCTGTAAGCCAGAACTTTTGAATCTCATCGCTTCTCCAGCGTCATGTCCTTTTTTTCGGCCCCCACATCCCCTTACCGGTGTGTAACGTGAGCTCACTCGCCTCACTTGTCACGTGGGCCGCTACTTGCAAGCCAAATCGCGTCTGACTGCTGCCGCGCTGTCGCCTATCGTCGTCGGGCAACTCCGCTCATGGAGCCGATGAGAATGGAAGGTCACCCATCGCCGTCGAATATGTCTACTCCGCTTACCTCACTTCAAAATATCCGGTCGTCGCAGTCTGGCTGACCACCTCCGGAGAGCGCCGGTAGTTTCAGAATGGCTTCACTGACATCACTACGGCCGTGAACGAGAGGCCTCTGTCGTACAACGACTCTCTTTCGGGAATAGGTCGTGTGCTTCGCTTCTCTCGGCGATTCAGGAAGATATGGGCAAAATTTCGTCGAAACTCCAGTATCTATTATCTAAGAAAGCAAAACCAGAAGCTTGAACTGCGCTGATGATTATGCCCCCTAAGTTCTTGCAAAAGCCACAGCCAAATTTGCCCCATGAACAGGCCAGGTCTAGAGCGCCTTTTCCAATACGCCATTCATCCTTCTCCAAGATGAGCAAGTGATTAATTGCCAGTTCAGAGCCACTTCGTATAACTGTTGTGGAGGAAAGAATTTGCAGGCTTTTCGTATGGTCTAAGACCAGATGTCGCAGTCCGTAGTGTAGATCTTGGGAGGCGCACCCTCGGGCCACCAGTCCTCAGGCTTGCAAGCCCACTTGATCCGGTTGCAGTCCGAGATGCCGCCGCCGCAGCTGAGGTAGCCATTCCAGTTGTCGAGGACCTCGTCTGGTAGTTTTATTAGCAAAGGTCGACTCTGGGCAGGAAGAAATTGCACATCGCACTTACTGAGGTTGATATGGGTCGCCTTGTACGTGCCGTCGAGAGTCTCGCACTGGCACTTGAGGCCGTCCCAGCTGTCGGCTCCGCAGTCCTTGCAAGTCTTCCAGAAGTCGCCCCTATGTGGACGTCAGTCGTTTGGCACTCAGCAGGGCCGTAGTGCTGATGAGGGCAGGACTCACGTCTTGTGATGCTCAGGCTTGATTTCCAAGTCACCCAGGACGTTGGAGATGCAGTCGTTGAGGTTAATGACGCTGAAGGAAGTAGCACCGCAGATCTTCTCGTTGCAGTAGGTGGTGATACTGCCGTCATCGCGGAGGTTGAATTGAGGGCCATCGTTGAGATAGCCACAGCCATCGTCGAGGAAGCCGGCCTCGGTGACCTTGGAGATGCCAAGGGCAAGAAGAATGCCTAAAAGTACGAGCTTGGCCATTTTGGGTGGTGTTGTGGGTGTCGCTTGGGTTGTGATGTTTTGCTTCACAACAGGTCAAGAATAGGGGTGAGAGGAAGAAGCAGGGAACGAAACTGGAGACAAGATATACTAGGAAGCCAGTGGAAAAGAAGAAGCATCCTTAGATATTTACAAGTGGGAAGAGCAACTGACTTTAACCACCTACCCTTCTGGTCTGGGTGAATTGTAGATAATTCACCTCGCATGAAAACTCTTCACCCTCGTAGCAAGCAATCTCACATTGCCTGCCTTCTTCATTGTTCTTGTATCCCAGATCGTTCCTACCTTTCTAAGGTAGAATATCTCACCTTCACCCAAGGCAGAGCTTTCAAGGCTCTTCCATCTCTACAAAAAGCACTTCTTCCTTTGCCCCCCTTCCACTGAAAACAGACCTCGCCACAACACCGCAGGTGTTCACAAAACAAGTGAATTCCTTCACAACGACAACCACACCCACGCGCCCTCACCACAAAATCATCCCATGGTCAAGATGAACCTCCGCGCCGCCACGATCTGCCTCCTCGGAGGACTCCCTCTCCTCATCAACGCGGGCAACACCACCGTCGTCAATGGCGCCGATGGCTTGAAGACCACAGTCGTCAAGATCAAGACGACCATCACAACCACCGCCACGGTCACTGCCACGATTGAGGAGCCCTCCTCGATCAAGAACCCTCGCCTCAGCAACACCACTCACCTCACCACTCACATCTGGTCGCTCCCCACAGACACCCCCAAGTCTAAGGTCGCCAACAGCAAGGCCAAGCTCGCCAACCTCGAGACCGAGATTCCCAAGACCATCCTCTCCAAGGCCCTCACCAACACCACCCTCGCCAGCAACATCGCCCTCGCCAGCCCCAACTCGACCACCACCCACACCCACCCCTCCATCACCGTCATCGACATCACCGCCACCAGCCCGCGCTCCCCCCTCGACGACAACAATCTCGACGACGGCACCCTCGCCCCGGCCTCCGACCCCGCCGCCGGCTTCATCAAAACCTGCTCCGCCTGGCAGGTCTGGGACGCCAACAACGTCCTCTGGGCCCGCTGCCGCGCCCGCGGCCGCGGGAACATGTACTGGTCCCGCATCGGCCTCGACCACATGCTCGGCAACGTCGGCGGCCGCCTCGTCTACCAGCGCGAGGGCTACTTCTCCTCCTCGTGCGTCTCGTGCCAGCGCCGCGCCCGCACCACCAGCTACCTCCAGTGCGAGTGCAAGGACAACCAAGGCGAGTTGCAGACGACCAGCATCGATCTGAGTGAGTGCCGTTCCCTTCTTCTCACACTTATGGAAACCCCAACTAACGCCAGTCGCAGACCGCTACCTCGGCAACAGAGACGGCTTCATCTGCTCCGAGTACATGTGTGGTGTGCGCGAGGGACCCCCGCCCGGTTCCCGCAAGTGAGTCGACCTCGTTGGCTACGCTTCATAATTCTCAAGAAGGGAAAGATACCGACCACGCAGGATGGGATCTTCCAAGGAAGGAACTTTAGACGAAAACTCAGGAACGCAGACATCATAGACAGTGAACAATCAATTGGCTGTATTCGCCTCTACACATACTGATGCATAGACATGCCTTGGACACATTTGTCAGTGCCATGAAGTGAACAACCTTATCCCAAGAAAAATGCACCTAAACCCGTTTTATTTTTCAATTCATCTCATAACCGTACAACGACTTCTTACCAGCGAAGCCATACCCTCGTTACCAACTTGCGACATTCGACAGCTGCCGTGAGCTCTCGCCAACCAGGAAGGAGTACTGTCCACTCGTCACCATGACCCAGTTTTGCTCGTGAATATCCCAGTAGCTGAGATCACGGCGCGTCAGGTTGAATGTGACCGTCTTCTTCTCGCCCTTTTCAAGGTTGAATTTGTCGAAGCCACGGAGGACCTTGACTGGGAAATCGATTCCGTGGACGTTCTTGGGATACGCGAGGTAGAGCTGCGGGACGACCTTGCCGGCGCGAGCACCGCTGTTGGTCACATCGGCCTTGACAGTGACATATGTTTCCCAGAGGTCGGGGTTTCCACCTTCCTCTCCTCCCGCGCCGGACAGAGGCTGCTTGGTATCGTATCCCTCAGGGTAAGGGTACGGCTCCTTGACAACGTCGTCTGTCGAGTCCAGATACGGGTACACATACTTGTCGAGCTTGTTGAATCCGCTAGGGAACAGTGCCTCCTTGGGGTCGGGCAGCTTTTCACTGAACTTCGGCGGCTCGGCGGCGGGTGCTGGACGGGGAGCGGGCAGCTTGGACTTAGGCTTCACCTCCTCGACGACAACATTAGAGAAGGCAAAGCTCGTGTACGACAGGCCGAATCCAAACTCGAAGCGTGGCTCGATCTCGAACTTATCGAAGTGGCGATAATCGATATATAGGCCCTCGGAGAAATCTTGCTGGGGCACGACGCCGTTGGGCAGGTACAAAATTTGCCCAGCAGCCCCGTAGTCCTTGAGCGACTTGGCGATAGTATACGGCAGCTTGCCACTGGGGTTGACGTCGCCAAAGATGACATCCGCGAGAGCGTTGCCGCTCTCCTGCCCAGGAAGGTTTGCATAAAGCACAGCCTTGACTCCAGGGTGCTCAATCCAGCGTTCCATCTCGACGGGACCGACGGAGTGAATGACCACGACAGTGTCGCCGCCGACGCTGTTGCCATCGCTCTTACCGCAGTTGTCTGCGACCTGCAGGATGAGATCGTCGCCTCCCTTCTGCAACTTGAGGTCGTTGCGGTCACCGCTGACTCCAGACCAAGAGACGAAACCTTCACCCGCATCGGCGTTCGCGAAGACGATGCACACATCCTTGTCGTTCAAGATTGAAGGGTCTTTCTTGTAAGGGAGCGAGTTGGTAAGGTACTCGGAGAGCTCGACCTTCTCGCCCTTGAAGCCCTTCTTGAGGGCCTCGACAGGCGGCACGAGGTAAGGGAACTCGACAGCGCCGCTGCCCCATCCCGAGCCCAGAGTACCTTGGTTGCAAGCACGGTCTTTGCAGTAGTTGGGGCCCTTGCCAGGGCCTGCATCCTCGCCAAAGATGCCAATCTTCAGCTTTCCTTCGTGACGTTTGTCGTTGCGTCTGCGCTTGGCGTCGATGAATCCGTCTCTGCTGATTGGCAGCACGTCCTTGTTCTTGAGCAAGACAATGCCTTCAGCGGCAACCCGACGGGCGATGTCGGAATGGTTGCCCTGGACATTCACGTACTTGTTCACTTCCACCTCTTTCTGTGGCGTCTTGCTTCCAGGAGCGAGCACTCCCATCTTATCGTCGGTCCACGAGGAGAAGTTGGGAAGCTCGTTGGGAAACTTCTTCTTATCGTCCTGACCCATCTGATACCACGAGGCAACGATGCGCACGACCATGTCGTCGAGTCTGTCGATTGGAACCGACCCGTTCAAAACTGCCTTCGTCAGCTCGGAGCCCCAAAGGGATTTTCCGTCTGCCCAGAACAGTCCGTCGCCGGGCATGGACATATCCAGGCCGGCCAGGGCGCTTCCCACACCGGAGCGCTAGACGAGTGTCAGTGACTGCTCTTCGAATCCACAATCACAAAAGCAAAATCCTTACCTGAGCCAACCAGTCGCTCTGCACGAAACCTTGGAAACCCATCTCATCCTTCAAGATACCGTTCAGAAGCTTGGAATTACCGCAGGCATACGAGTTGTTGACTTGGTTGTACGAGCACATGACACTGGCAACACCGGCCTTGACAGCATCCAAGAATGGCCAAACGTACAGCTCGTGAAGCGTTCGGTCGTCGATGTTGCTCGAGATGGCGTTGGGCAGGCCCCATTCCCAGCTCTGGCGGAAATGCTCTTGCTCGTTGGCGACGAAATGCTTGATCGTAGCAATGACACCCTCCTCTTGGATGCCCTTGATGGTTTGGGCTGCAGCAATGCCTTGCAGGTAGGGGTCGGAGCCAAAGCCTTCCCAGTTACGACCACCAGCCGGCAGGCGACCGAGAGGGCCAACACATGGGCCCAGTAGAACGTTGATTCCCTTGCCCCGGGCTTCCTCGCCATGCGCCTTGCCGCGCTCGTACATCAATTCTTTGTTCCACGTAGCACCAACGGTGATGCCCGCGGGGAAAGCAGTCGCATTATCTGCAAAACGGAGACCGAGGGGCCCATCTTGCAGCTGAAGTTGAGGGAAGCCAACGTGAACAGCCGGGCCAGTTGTGCCGACGGCAAGGCCCATCATCCAGCCGGTTCCCGTCGTGACATTGACCTTCTCAGGTAGTGTCATCTTGGCGACCATTTCGCTCGCCTTCTTGTAGCTCTCGGCCCAATTCTTTGATATTCCACCCTTTGGTGTCGGGTACCACGGCGGTGACAGGCCGGTAGGGGGAGGACCCTTGAATTTCTTGTACATGACGGCTCCTCCAGCGCTAATGACCACCCACATAAGGAGCACGACACCTGCGAATAGCCAACATAGCTTCGACCGGCCACGGAAGCAATTCTTGATGGCATTGAGTACGCCGGTGCGTTTACCGGACAAGAAGGCGGGCTTGGGAAATGCGGACTGCTTCTGGGTATCGCGAGTGAGGTAATCGGTCGCGTCGATGTCGGAGGCATCGTCGGATTCGTAGGAGCGGCGGCCCTTCTCCTCGTTGAGGAGGCCCTCCTTGCTAGGATCCATCGTCGATGGCGGGGGACTTCGACACGAAGTCTGGTTAAGCCGAATTCAAAGGACGGTTATTCGTTCGTGGAAATTGGACACGTCCAGTAGTGTCTGGTGACAAGTTCGTCGTGATCTGGCAGTGCTTTACGACTGACGGACCATTGCTCAATGCGCCTCTAGACTGGGAGACGGATTGGGGCGAGTTGACAGGGTGTTGTGCTCGAGACAACAGTGACAACCCGGAAGACACACGAGGGCAATGGAGGAGTCTGTTCGGTTGTATGAGAGAGGCAGATCAGAAACAAGCAGCTGTCGCTTTTCCGACACGGATGAAGTGTGGCTGCAGTGGGAGAATGACAAAAAAGAAGCCAGGAACGGGGACGGGCGCCGGTGTCTGTTCTCTTGAGTTTCGGTTTGCAGCTGCCGCAGCGTGGTGGTGCTGCTGCTCTTGTCTTTTTAGCCTTTCTACGGTGCGCAGCGCACGCCTCCAGGGGACCTCGCCTCGACCCAGCTGGACCTGGACCTGGGACTTTGTCGATTCCGGGTTGAAACAGTGGGGGGGGAAACACCAGCTGGGCATCCCCCGCTTGGGCCGCCAACCCCTGTCGCGAGTGACGTCCCTCTGCCACTCTGGAAGCTGCCCGGAAGGAAGAAGGCTGCCCGGAAGGAAGAAGGACGCCCAGGAACCACAGCGAACATCAGCGCCCAGTGAGTGGCCCAGGGGCGCTCCCGTCCCCGCTGATTGGCGCGGGACCTCGGCAGCACGGGCCTAGCGTGCCTGGGAGTGGGCAGAAGAGAAAATGAAATTCACCCATTCAACGCCTCAGAATCCTCTTTCACCGCCCTCCTCCACGGATCCATCGCTACTTTCGCAGTGATGAACTGCTTCGTTCATGGCCTTGCCACCCGAAGATTTGCCGTTGTTCGTGTAAGGTGTCTCACTATCCGATACCGAGCCGAATCCACACTGCCAACGAAGAACATATTGGCGGCGCTTCTTATTGATCATCTGTACAACTCTCGTCAACTTGAAGCCGTGCTAGACGAACAATCACCAGATATCGAAGCCCGAGATTGCTATGGTGAGACTAAAAGGCAAAAAGAAAGGAATGCGGCCCTACTTGACCGACACCAAAGACATTGTGTCTCAACTAGACCCAAACGGTGGGAAGCGTGAACAATGACCGAGGAAGGCCTCGCAATTCTGATTGATTGACAAAACATTCCATCCACCAGCCACCTCTGGCCAATCGCGACTCCCACAGAATCCATGAAGAAGACATTCGGGATCCCAATTACGATGCGAAAAAAAATAAGCTCTTGGGCCGTCTGTAGGCCTTTACGCAGGCTCTGTGCAAGTTTCTCAGCCTCACTTTGGCCAGGCGTCGAAAGAACAGCTAGAACATGCACCGTCCGAATGATGCTCACATTGAACTTTGTCGAACTTCATCATGCACCGCAACTTATTGTTCATCACAGACTTTGAGAGCTTGAGCCATTCAAACTAGGTTTTTTAGGCTTCCCTTTCTTTGGAAATTATAATGACTTTTTCTCGGCATATATCCTGCCCGGAAAAGCTGAGTGGTGGCGGGGCCTCAGAGGGGCATTCTCACCTCACCGCAGTCGAAACAATGGAAGTGTTGCACAGCAGAGGCCAATATATTTGCAGAAGTTGATCGTCATGACAGCCATTTTCTGATTTGAGTAGCATGTTCAGTCAAGAATTCTCTTCCAGATCATCTTAGGTAAAGTACAAGTTGAGGTGCCAATTAACTAAAAG